GGAAGTAAGACTAAGTTCTTAAGTGTCCTCAACCTCTATTTAGAATCCATTGAGAAATGCTGTGTCCACTGGGAGGGAGTGCAGTGGTTACAAGGTTCAAGAGGCTCGGACTCACTGGAGCTGCCTTGTTTAGAGGGCACAGGGATGTTCCTCTTGAGAGCCACACATGTAGAGTAGAAGTTATCCTGAGAGCCCGATGAAGGACCCCACAAACTGTAAAGCATACTGGTGGGGAGTGCATATGCTGTACAGCGAGGAGGAGGAAGGGAGCTTCCATTCAACAAGAATGCTTTGCCAGTGCTGGGAATCTTGGAGAGACAATAGTGACAATCACGGTCCCTGTTTACCCATCCAACCTCAGGAGCCTTGCCCCAGCCTGCTACATCTGTCAGTGTCCCCATAAAATACATGAAGACACTGAGGTAGATGGGTAAGTGCAGGGTGCCAGGGCTTGAAAGTGACAGAACCAGGGCTCTGAGCTCCGTGTGTGCCATTTGGACTCTGGGGGCTAAAGAGAGCTGGGTGAGGACATCTCCAGGAGGCCAAGTATGTGTACCACTGAAGGGCCGTGCTCCATGTGTGCTCCACAGTGAAGGGCCGTGCTCCATGTGTGCTCCACAGTGCTCACTGGCTAGGAAGTCAGTCTTGTGACCTACATTCAAATCCTCTGCAAAATACTGCATTTTCAGACTTTATTTAAATTAGTCTCTTACGAGTTTAATAAATTGTGCTTCAGACAAACCAAATGAATTGCTGCTGGAGATGGGTTCTCACAGACGGGGACTCTTCCAGAGAGGGAAGAAGTCACAACAGACTGTTTTACACGGTGATTGTTGGAAAATGCGCAGAGAGAGCGATGCTCGATTTGGTTTTTAGTTTATTATTATTTTCAGAATGGGTCTCATGTATCCCGAGCTAGCCTCTAAGTCACTATATGGTCAAGGATGACTTTAAGCTTACTGATCCATCTCCTGAGTGTTGGGATTACAAGTGCGTGTCACCACGTCTGGTTTTATGTGATGCTGGGGATCAAACCCAGCTTCCTTCGTGCTCAGCAAACACGCTGAACTACAGTCCCAGCCCTCAGTTTGGTTTACAAAGAACCCAGACCCATCGAGGACAGGAAGAATCATGGGGTGTGACATGGACTGGGCCTCCAGGAAGCTCATAACCTTGGGGGCAGACACAGAGGCTCAGCAACCAGAGACAAGGCTGGCTGGATACACAGAGTCAGACCAAGGCCTCTGCCCTTCCGGTTTGTGAGGATTTAGATGACGCAGGCTGGTGGCCACCGAGTCTTCTTAGTGCTCAGAGTACCCTGAGATAGATGGTCTCTGAATCAAAAGAGCAGGGTCCTTTGGGGCAGATGAGAGCAAGAGGGCCTGGCCAGAGCCCAGGAGCTTCTGCAAGGCATGCTGGGACTTGTCCACACAGCCAGTGTCAGGAACCTGCTTGCAGGAGTCATGGAGGCCCCAATAAACATGGGCCACAAAGGCACTGTGAGCATAGCAGACAGTACAGGGCAGAGAGGGCAGGAGGAAGTGGAAAGCCCCCTGGACAAGCATAGTGACAAGTGCCTCACAGGGACCTAACCCTCCCTGTCACTCTGCAGATAGCTAGGAACAGGCTCCCTGCCCCCCCTTTCAAAACAGGGTTCTTCTATGTAGCCCTGGCTGTCCTGAACTAGATCTTTAGACCAGGCTGTCCTTGAACTTAGAGATCTTCCTGCTTCTGCATCTCAAGAGCAGGAATCAAAGGCGTGCACCTTTGCAGCCACCTGGCATTTTTGTTTTGTTTTTTGAGATAGGGTCTCATGTAGCCCAGGCTGGCTGTCCCTGAACTCTGCATAACCAGAGATGACCTTAAACTTTTACATTTTTTTTATTACTGTGTGTGTATCATGGGAGGGCTTACATGCTAGAGCATGCACATGGAGGTCTGATTCCTTCCAACTTTATGTGTGTTTGAGAGATTGAACAGGGGTTCAGACTCATGCAGAAAGCCCCAATGAGCCATATCACTGACCCCGACGTTGAACTTTTGATTCTCCTGCCTCCACCTCCCCAGTGCTGAAATGACAAGTGTTTGCTTCAGTGCCTGGTTTAATATGGTGTGGGGGATGGAACCCAGGTCTTCATGCTTGGCAAGCACTCTATCAACTGAGCGACATGGCCAGCCCAAATGTTCCTATGTAGAAGATGGAGAACTGGAGGCTCAGGGACTAAACGTCTTGTCTAAAGTCACACAGCAAGGTAGATATGGAGCTAGGGCGTAGGGCATTCGACCCAGAACAAGCAGAGATCTAGGTTTGTGTCTTGAAGTGTGGAGCCGAAGTGTACCCCAGCCCTGTCTGCTTGCAGCTTTAAGCTGGTAGCTGCTGAGGGAGATACAGGCTTTATTTAGCGGTGAGCCCATTACACACAAAGCAAGCCGAGGCTGGGAGAGAGGAATTGCTTAGGAAGCTTCCAGACTTGTATGATGGCAGTGCCCTGCCTGTGGCTGGCCTGCTGTTCCTTGGCTCTCTGTGGCTTCTGTTTCCAGCCATGTGTCAGTGATGAAGGGACTGAAGGAGAGAAGGGGATTTGGAGAGAGGAGGGAACCCCCACTTACACACAGGCACATGCGCCCGCGAGTAGCTTTCACCCCGTCCCTGCATGGTAGACAAAGCCTGCCCCATAATTGGGAGTGAGTATTTCATGCGTGCCCCCCGATGTTTTATTGGAGAGATGCTTGGAGGCCGAACGGATGGCACGTTCCGTTTATAAAGTGCACGCCGTTTGTTTTATTTCCCAGGCTCTTGCAATCTAGATAACAGATGACACCCCGAGTGGCTGTGCTGCCTGGAAATGGCTGCCGGAGCCTTTGGAGGGTATTAATAATATATTGTGTTGATGAGCATGGAGAAAGTCGCAATCCACCCCCTGCTGCCAAGGCGTTAGTGCGGCTGCTGAATGCAGGAGCACCAGCGCTGAGGCACAGGCGCTGAATGCAGGTCACCCCCAACACACACCTTCCTGCTGCAGCCTAGGGAGCTCTTGCATCTTGGAGCCCCGCAAGATGTGCTGACTCTGGCCTGGGACCTGGCCAGTGCCCATCTGTTTAGACCCCTGTAGCCCTTACTGGGCACCTTGGTCAATCATAGAGCAGCAGTGAGGGGCAGGCATCTGCCTCTAAATCGGGATCCACGGCCAGACAAGTTCCCAGGAGCCTCCGCCTACCTAAGGTTGCCAACGGGGCAGGTTAGACACTCCCTCCCCGACCCGGAATAAAACCACCCGGCCTGTACCTTTCTTGCAAAGCCACAAGCTGGCTTGGGCCTAGAGGACACTCACTTGCCTCTGTCACCTGGTCTGACCTTCAGTCCCACACCAACCGCAAATGCACACAGAATCCCCCTAAGAACTAGAAGGAGCCGTAACCTGCCTTGAGGTATCACCACTAGAGTTGGGACCCCTCAGAGACCTGCATGGTGACTTCTTGCTGATTTACATGTTCAATGTCATCAAATCCTCAGGAAGGTCTTCTGACTTCATCATTTTGCAGCAGAGCAACCTGAGGCAATAAGGAAGCTCAGAGATAGGTAGGGGAAGCCACCTCCTCTAGACCACAGCATCATCAAGGAAGCCTCTGGGAAGGCTTCCCAGAGGAGGTGGTGTTGGACTTGGGTGTTGCAGGTTGAATAGGAGTCTGCCAGACCAAATAGAGGTGGGTACTGGGCTTACCCCCACAAAGTGCTCTGGCCAGTGCCAGGGCAGTAATCAGAACCCAAGAAATCCCTGTCCACTGTGAAACAGCATTTTGTCGTGGGTGGTGCTGATAGCAGCCCCAGGAAAGGAGGCAGGGTGTGAGCCTGGCTTTTATGGCTGTCCCTGCTCCAGAACCGATTAGCAGAGAATTGCAGCTGTAATCTGTGCCCGTGAAGCGGGCCATAAAGAGGGATGGGATGTGTGATGCTCCCAAGGTGGCGCCCGCAGACGTGGCCCGGGGATGCAGGGAATGAAAAATGGTTTTAATTCCCTCCCAGCAGCAATAATTTGATTCTTCATAAATTTTTCCATCAAAGTGTTGTTGAAGCTGAGTTCCCACAGAGCAGGCATGTGACTGGGTGTGGGGTGTGGGCAGGAGCAGTCAGCACAACAGCAGGACCTGCAGCACGAGCCAGCCAGGGGCGCAGAGACCCTCGGATGGGACAGAGTCAGCCACGGGGAGAGCCTAGACCCGGGAATTGTTTGCTACATGGAACACACTCTGAGCACAAACTCCTGTGTGCACTTTCACCTCCTCATCCCTAAAATGGGGCCAGGGCTCTCTGGTCTCAAGGGCCACTTCAAGATCAGGTGATATGCACGTGTAGCGTGCTAAGTACAACAGCTATTCATGTTTCGGCGAGACGTGCCCATGCTGAAATAAAGGGACAAGAAGGTGGCAGCAAGCCAAGGGATGGAGACAGAGGGGACAGAACATGTCCTGAGGCCACTATGAGGGTGCCCTGGGGACATCGTGGCTGTTTGAGGGATTACAGCTGGGAAGCAGGAGGCGCTGAGACAGGATGCTTTTGGGCACTAGGGAACTATGGTTGAGTGTGGACCATGAAAGATTAAGATCAGTGTGCGTTTTAGAAAGAGCCTCTGTGTCCTGGGTTGGGGCACAGGTGTGAGAGGGTTGAAGGGTTGAGGATCTGGGGACCCAGGGAGGGGAGAAGGGCCCAGGCTAGAGGGCAGAACAAAATTAGGATTGTTTGTCTGTGGGGGTGAAGGAGGCTAGCAGGGTGTGAGGTTGACCCTGCATACTGCCCTCTAGTGGCTTCCATGCCCGAGCAGGAAGACCCAGAAGCAGAGCTGACCACCCAAGACAGGCACCTCATGCCCGCCCTGGCTCCCCTTGGGACATGCAAAAGAGGAGGGTGCGACCCCATCCCCAACCCCATCTGTCAGGGTGGCAGAGGGAGGTGTCCTGGGTGAACCCCTCTAGCCCAGCCTGTGCCTCCCTGTGCCCCGCAGGCTCTTCGCGGCGAAATGCAGTGGCTGCATGGAGAAGATCGCCCCTACCGAGTTCGTCATGCGGGCACTCGAGTGTGTGTACCACCTGGGCTGCTTCTGCTGCTGTGTGTGCGAGAGGCAGCTCCGCAAGGGGGATGAATTCGTGCTCAAGGAGGGCCAGCTGCTGTGCAAGGGCGACTACGAGAAGGAGAAAGACCTCCTCAGCTCCGTGAGCCCGGACGAGTCTGACTCTGGTGAGCCTAGGCTGAGAGGCTGCAGGACATGGCTCAGTGGGATGCTGGAGTGGGGCTTCTGAGTGGGGTGCTGGAGTGGGGCTTCTGAGTGGGGTGCTGGAGTGGGGCTTCTGAGTGGG